CTATCCTCTAGAGGTCTCCTGTAAAGGGATTTGAAGTGGTCCACAAAGATTATGGCAATTTCATCTTGATTTGAGATTAGCTCTCCATTGATTTCCAACCTAGCCACAAAGTTTTTTGTGCGCCTTCTTCCATTGGCGATCACATGAAAGAATTGTGTATTCCCATCCCCTTCCTTTATCCATTTTTGTCTTGACTTTTGTCTCCAAGATATTTCCTCTCTCTTGAGGACTTCTTCCAATTCTTTTTTTGATTTCCATCTTAAATCCCTCTCTTCTGCATGGAGATTTCTCTCAATTTCCACATTGTCCAACTCTTCAATCTGGGAAATTAGAGTCAGTTTCCTTTCTTCTAACCTTCCAAAATGATCCCTATTCCACTCCTTTATTTTAGATCTTAATCTTTGCAATTTCTGATGGAATTTGATTCCTTCCCACCTTATTCTTCTTAGTTCCTCCTTCCACCAATCCTCCACTTTTCGAATAAAATCCAGATGTGTCAATCTGATAGGCCCCCAATTATCCTTACATATGCTAGGAGAGGGAAAGGCAGCATAAGCCAGGTCAGCAGTCTGTTAAGGAGGGAAATGTTTAGATATTGGTGTGCTTATTGTAGCTATGCCAGCTGGGGCTTATTGTAGCTATGGCAGCTGGGCATTTCTAAAGGGAGTTAGTTATGATGTCAGGAGGGAATAAGAAGGGAGTTTCGGGATAGGGAGGGATCATTCTGTGTGTGAGGAATATTTTGAGTGTTTGGGAGAGCCGGCGGTCTCTCGAAGAACCGACCAACTGTTATTACTTTCCATTGAATGAATACAAGTTTCTTTTCATTTGAGCTGTGTATTTTTGCTATGTGTCTGAGAATTGTGTGTGAGATCTTCGGGACATATCACAACCACATGTTTTCAAATTTGAAAGGAGCAGGGCCATGTAAGAAGATTTATGTTCCTAATCTAATGGCATGGTGATCTGAAGTGACTCTAGGCAACGCCCTAGAAACGAAACCTTCCCAATGATTTTCCCATCCTCTATTGAACAGAAATCTATCCAGCTTTGAGCATAGTGGGTTTTCCTAAAAATTGGACCAAGTGAAATTGGATTGAAATAGGGAGATCTCCTTCAATTCATACAAGTCTGAATTCATTAAATTTACTCATACTAGTGGTGATAGACTGATTGGGATTAGAAGTTCCGTTGAAAAATCTTATCACATTGAAGTCCCCTCCCAAACACCAAGCACCTTTCCACAAACCCCAAATTGCATACAATTCCTCCCACATATCACTTCTCTCTATAAGTATGTGGTCCATAGACATTAGTTAACACCCAATTGAATCCATCCTCCACGCTCTTGAATTTCACTAATACAGTATACCTATCTATCAATTCCTCCATTGCTTCAAGCACTTCATCCTTCCACAAAAATCACTATACCCCCTTAAGCCCCCCAAGATGGAGCCTCAACCCATCTTATTCCTCTCGCTCTCCACAAACTACTGATCAAACTTCTACCACACTCATTTTTTGGGCACACCATTTCTTGAGTGTCAAATTCGATATTGCTGACCTTAATACTATAAAATGGTTATAAGGTCAGCAATATCGAATTTGACAAACTATTGGGTACTCAAGAAATGGTGTGCCCAAAAAATGAGTGTGGTAGAAATGCAAATGTTGACATAGATGAATGGGAAAACGAGAAAGGATGGAATCAGAAATTAACTTTTTCTAGGAAACCTATGGGCAGCTCCAATAGGTGATAATATTAGGAAAAGTAAACTATGATGGTTTGGTCACGTGAAGAGAAGGCCATCTACAACACCAATAAGAAGTGATGTGTTACAAGTTGAAATGGTAAATTTTAGGAATAAAATTACCTTACCATTTTTCAAAAAAAAAAATGTGTTACAAGTTGAAAGGGCTAGAGGCATAGTTTTCAAGGCACCAAGGTGAGGCTAGGCAACAGGGGGCGCCTTGTGGCCTAGTCACCTAGGCGGGCACCTAGGCGTCACCTAGGCGATGGATTTTTTTAAGTGAAAATACATATCCTAGGTAGTTCCCTAGGTTCCATAACCATCTTTCCTTAATAACTATCCATAATTTTCATAAGAAAATTATAAACTTCATGTTTATGTCTAGAAAATCAACATATTTATGAGAAGAAAAAGAAGAAAGAAAAGAAAATTAAAAAAATATGGGGACTGAACCCCTATTTTTGTTATAGGAAAAGAAGAAAAGAAAAGGTGGAAGAAGAAGGAGAAGAAGAAGATGTGGAGGAAGAAATGTGTTGATTAGACAAAACTTTAAGTTTTTCCCTTATTGGTTCAAATTCTGAAGTCATTGAGGGTTCAATACAGTAGTTAACAATGCTTGTGTTGATTAAACCCTAACAAATAAGAAAATAATAAAAAAAAATAGTTTATAAACACAAAAAATGAATGTTTTTGTTTAATAATGTCTATTTTATAATTATAATCTCAAAAAAGTAATAATATAAAAGTATTTTATAAGATAGTATACAAAACTGCTAGGCGACTAAGCGAGGCAAGCCTCCAAGGGCACCTTGTCGCCTAGGCATCGCCTAGGCACCCACCTAGGTGTCGCCTTGACAACTATGGCTAGAGGAGCTAGGAGCAGACCGTAAGGACTGGATTGAAGTAGTGAGAAATGATGTTTGGTTGGGTAACACCTCCATCAAAGAGCTATACCCTTCCGTTTATGCAATCTCTAATCGTAGGGATGAACCCATTGCTTCCTTTTTGTTTCCTTCTAATTCCACCTCCATTTTGGGTGAGACCTTGTAATGCAGGAGCTGAAGAATCAAATTTGAAATTTTCTAAAACTTTCTGTATTTCTGTATATTTGGATAGTATGGGTATTTTTGTCATTTTGACCATTCCCATGTGGGCTTGGGCTATAGCATCTTGTTCCTCTAGATTAGTAGTGCTTCTCTTTCAATTTTTAGTTTATTTTCATTAGTAGGTAGAAAGTTATTATGTTTCTTGATGCACAAGATGAGGGGTGGCTTTTTTGTAATTATGGTGAACAGTTTTCCGGGCCACACAAGTCACTCTATAAAAAGATGTATTCTCTTCCTTTTGACGCTAATGAGATTTCTTTAGAGATCTCTTACATGTTTGTTGTATAGAGTGATTCCTACAAACCCTAGAGTGATTCTAGGACCCTTGGAGTGATTCCTTGGGATTTCTCTCTTTTCTCTCTCTCTCTCTCTCATATATATATATATATTATGATAGTTTGTTGCTAGCCCTACTGCATCACCTTAGCCTTAGAAGAGGTCTTCATGACTGTGAGGTTGACAGGATATTGGATTTGATTCAAAACCTTGAGAATGTTTACTTAGATCCCTCTCACATTGACTCTCAGCTCTGGACTCTCTCCCCATCAGCCATCTTCACTTGTTCCTCTTTCTTTTTATCATTATTGAATCCAGTGACTTTGGGGGCCAACTGTTTCAACGAAAGAAATCTGGGGTAAGCCTGTCCCGCATAAGATTGGGGGTTTCTGCTAGGAAGTTTTTTGGGATAGAATTAATACTTGCGAGCTTCTTCAAAGGAAAAGACCTAATTGCTGCTTGTCCCCTCATTGGTGTATCCTTTGTAAGGCCAATGGTGAGTCCACTCATTACCTTCTAATATCCTATCCTCTTACACTGTCAATTTGGGAATGGTCTTCTTCCTTGTTTGGGTGGAGGTGGACCCCCCCCCCAATATGTTCAAAGGCTGTTTGACCCTACCTTTGTTAGTTGGCAAAAGAAGAGGGAAAATACTATGGAGATGTTTAAGGGCTGCAGTTTGTTGGACTATTTGGGAAGAGAGAAATCAAAGGCTGCTTGAAGGCAAAGAAAGAAGTTT